TCAGTTTGTTAATCACATTACCAAGAGCCATTAAGCTCTTGTTGATGTGCTTTCCTTCCTTTAAACGTACTCCATCAGCTCCGGTTTTAGCAATCCGCTCTGACCCAGCTAAATCCACCAAATTCTAGATGCAAAGACAAAAAAAGATTTGTGCGATAAAATATTCAGTGATTTGTATACGATCTAATATAAAAGGCACCTATACAGCTGATCATATACTTTTTTTCTTTAATAAATAGACACAATGTTGGGGAATGAAAAACAAACCAGGACTGAGACACGAACGGCATCAGTGCTTGAGTCATTGCTAGAAGAATTGGTTTCCTTCCCCTTGCTTTCAATAACCTGGTATATGAACGAAACAATGAAGAATTACAAATATTTGTGTGAAATAACAATGCACAAGCCTTTACTTCAAATAATGCATCAGGAGCCTACCATTCTGAATATCGTGTGAGATCTACTACTTCGAACATTCATGTTGGTCTCACCAAAGTGCCTATTAACTGAAAAAAAACAATATTCCAAAAGGAGAGGAGCATGGTTTTATTCATATTCAACTAAAAGAAGAGACAAGAAGCACAAAGCTATTATTCATGTATTCTTTCAACCTTCTCCTGACTCAATAAACTTAAGCACTTGCTCAGCGTTATTGACGATTTCCTCCCTGAGGCCTGAAACAAATATCCCACGCTAGAAAACAAGAAAAATCAGTTAGTTTTCTTCTAAAGAAACTATAGAGAAAATTGTCAGAGTTTTGATAGTATTAAAACCTCCAAACTCTCGTGTATTTGCAATTTCTGATTCTCTACGGCAAAAAGATCATTAATTTCTTCATTGTAAATCTCCATGTAGGAAACTCGAATGAGAAATTCCCTATCTGAAATCTGAGAATATGAAATAAAAAAATGTAATTAAGTCATTTTTGTTCCTACTAGTGTTGTAAGTACATATTATACATCAAATTTCATAACATCGATAGCTGGTGCTTACCATTTGTATTTTCTCAAAAATATCTTTAACCGCCAAGGGAATGATTCCCGGGTTAGTGGGGGAGCCATTCATGGTGAATGTCTTGCCACTGCTGGTCTGCCCATATGCAAATACAGTTCCTGCAGACATCGAAAATAGTAGGCTTCAAAATCAATCCTTAGTAACCAATTGATTTTAGGTTTATAATGGATCTTGGAGAGTGTCGAATCAAGAAAACTAGAACCCAGAAACCGAGAGATTTCATGGAGTGTCCAAACTCTTAAGCTATTCTATTTGATAGCGGCCTAAAATTAATATTTAAGTCCAATAACCCAAATTAAACAGTCACGTGATTCAAGATATGATTAAAAGAAACAACAGAGTTTATCAGTTCCCCTTTCCTCTTGTAACCAAGAATTCATATAATCTTATAAAGCGCATTATTAGAAACTTATTTAGGTCATTTGGTGACTGAAGAAGGATCTAGTAATTCAAAGTTCTCCAAAATCAGTCTGAATCGTAAATAAAAAGCCAAAACAAAAAAAACTCATGATAAAAACAAATAAAAGTACCGTTGAAACCCTGGACAGCAGCGTGAATGATGTCCTTGGTAAGTAGGTCATAAACTCTAGCATTTGAGCAAGTTTCATCGAACACATGATCTGAACAGAAGGTATAACGAATTAAAACTGATATCAGAGAAAATGAGTGAGCAGAATGGAGAAATTCAGGTAAATGTTACCAAAAGCGTAAGAGATGCCGGATATAGGGGTTCCATGTTGCCTGTGAAGAGAGACGCGATTGTCTTCGACCTTCCAGAAGGTTCCATTGAAGGTTTTTTCGGAGACGGGTGGTCTCACTCTCACTGCCACACATATCTTCTCCATTTCTGTTTTCCTCTTGTGTCTCACACGCAGTGATTTTCAAATCCAGATCGGGCGGGCTTTCTATTGATATTCAGCAATTTTGATTTCAAAATTTTTATTAGACGGAAAAACCCTTGATAGCGTATTTTATGACCCACTGGTACATTTGCATGTTTGGGCCGTGGTATTTGTGGATATTATTTGGGTCCATAAACAATAAAGAGTAAGATCTGGTATCGATATATAAGGGCATCTCCAAATGTGACAATTATATTGATATATAAGAGTATTTTCAAATGACTTTTTATACAATTGAAACTCTTTATTATAAAGAGTTTATCTATAAAAATAAGAGTCTAACAGACTCTTTATTATTTAAATATAAATTAAAAAATGAGTTTGACTCTTCGTATTATAGATAGTCAAATTTTACTCTCTATTTTAATTTTAAATAATAAATTATAAGTTTTTATTTATTTTATTTATGATTTATCTCTCCTATTATTAAGTTTCTTTTTTGAAAAAACATATTCTCTCTCCTAAAATTTAAAGAGTCTATTGGATTTGAATAAAATTTTTATTTTTTATATTTAAAAATCAATGAAGATGCTCTTTATTTATATGAAAGATGTTAATAAAGAGCACCATTGGAGATGCTCTAAGAGTATCTCTAAAGGACTATTTATATGATTTAAACTTTTTATTATAAAGAGTCTATTCATAAAAACAAGTGTCCAATAGACTCTTCATTCTTTAAATATAAATTAAGAGTGAGTTTGACTCTCTACATCTAAAGAGTCAAATTTTACTCTTTATCATAATTTTAATTAATAAACTACAGGTTTTTATGTATTTTATTTATTAATTCTCTCTCATATTCAGTTTTTTTTCTTGAAAATAAAGAGTATTTTCATTAAATTTTAAAAATTCATTGGATTTGAATAAAAATTTTGTATTTTATATTTAAAAATTAATGAAGATAATTTTTTATTTATATGAAAATTACTTTTTAAAATATAAAAATTAACGAAGTTATTCTTTATTTATATAAAAAATACGGTATATTCATATTGTAAATATTGTCGTCCGTCTCAATTACTTTTGTAAATTAGTCCATTTCAATGTCCTGCAAAGAGATTAAAGCTCTTTTTGTTTCCTTTCTTCCCTTTTATTTTGTGGGTAACTTATGAGAACTTGCGAGGGAAGAATTCGTACATCATGTTCATGCACGGGATGGGATCCAAGTATCCAACCATGGAAAAACATTTATGTAAGTGATTTCTGTGGGGTAGAGAATGCTAAGAAAATTGATGGTGTATAATTAATAACGCTAAGACAAATGTCAAAAGATATTTGGGTGTCTATCTATCCTTTTTCTTTAGTGGTTGAATAATCAAATCCCTTTTCTTTTCCTTTTCTCTAAAATGATACTTGGTTGATTTGATGGGGGCTACATATCTCATTATCCGAATCCATTCCTTGCATTTGGAGAACTGGAGGCTTGAAACAAATTATGAGGCCCCATCCCTTTGGGAATAAATTCCATGCATGAACTTCAGATTTAAAATAAGCGTTTATTAAATAAATCAATTTTTCAAAACATATATATATATATATATATAATTTTGTCATGCCATGATTGACCAGTACACAGTGTCTCATTGAAAGAAATGATAAAGGAAGACTACCACGCCCCTTTATTTCAATATTATATATTTCTATCCTATTTTACTATTATATCTTAAAAAAAACTCACGTTTCCTGCTTTTTGACCTGCATATAAATTATAGGCTCCGTTTTTTCCACCCATATTTCCAATCTTATTCCTAAAATATATTCGTTCCTTGAAACTTCCAAATTCTGAAAGTTGCACACACTACTTTGAAGGTTTCTGCATTCCTTTTCTTGTTTTAAACTTCTTCAACTAGAACAATCCGCACGGCAATCATTCACTTTAAAATAAAGCTATAACAGTACAGGTGTGTGGCTTGAAATCAATACAGTCTGCAACTGAGTCAACAGAGTTGTCACAACCCAGTAGAGATGATTCAACCTCTAATCAAAAGGGAATCTTGAATCTTCCACTTGTTCTACTTCTAGGGATAGTAAGGATTTTCAAATCTGATGCCAAACTTTTTCACCCTTTTCAGCCTTATGATAAGGTTGAACTGTTCAAGATTCAGCAGTTAATTGCTATCATTCACAACATCCAAAGATGCACGTGTAAAATAGATTAACTTTAAAGATTCCTACTGCCACAATGCCAACAGCATTCAAATTAATTTCAGATCTGCCATAAACTGATCAATACTATAACACATTTCTTTTATATGCCAATTTGTCAAATCAATAATAGAAAAGTTTAATTTAATGTGCGTAGATATATATATATAACGGGGTACGGTACAGAAGCCAATTTAATTGCCATTTACGGTGACAACCTAAAACTTGTAGTTGCCGCTGGTTATTCTGGCATGTTTATCGAAACTTCCGTTTTCTTGATGTTGTGATGGTATCTAGCAGTTCTTTCTGACACGGCATGTAAAATCTTCAAATTTGTTGTTCTAATTAAACATAAGTGTAATATATATTTGCATGCCTGAAAATCAATTTAGAATAATGGAAGAATTGCATCTACAGCCAGTGGTGGAGTTGCACTATGTGACTGAACATAATTAACACATTGAAACTTGAACCCATGTGCTGACTTGTATTTATCTTAGACGGGTAATTAATTAGATGCCTTAACAGCCATTAATTTTCTATAAGTAAATTAATTTCCTAATACGTACACAGTACACTTTAGTGCTTCACTGTGAGCTCGATCAGCGAGTTAGAATGGAATGCAGATCTCTGCAGAAATAGAATATATATATCCATTTTACACCGTCTGAAATATAATTTCAACTTTAAATATTATTTAATCACATGTCACATGAATCTTAATATGATTTCTGGGGCCAAAACTTGAAAAATATAGCAACGTAGAAGACCCCACCTGCTTTGGAGTTTTTGTGTTGATTATAAGTGTCTGTCGTTATTTCTTTGGACAGAAAAAAAGATGTTTAACAGTAGTCTCTTGACTCTTGAAAGTTGAAATTAAGTCCATATCACTATAGCTCTAGCTAGATGAATAGTAAGTAATTATCTAAAAGGAAATAATTAAGAACGATAAACATCGCATTCATGGTTGGTACTGGAAAGATAATTATAATTACTTAAATTAATTTACATGGGATCATCAAATTTGAGCGGCTGCTGCCCAAACTATAATTAATGTGAATATGATAATCACTATCATGAACTCCCTATATGCACTAACCTCGTTAATTCTCTCTAGCAATACACGTAATTAAAAGCAGCTGCTTAAAAAACAAGAAAAAAGTCTCGACGAAGACCAAAAAGCAGACCACTAAATCTTTACGCGGTATAAAAAACGTGGGGTGTGTTGAAACTGCCACCACATTTCTCTTTCAAAAAAACCAATTTTAGCTTTTAATGCACCCAAAAGACTGTTTTGGTCCAACATGCATGCATACAGAGAGGGAGAGCTCCTTTTTTTTCTCTTTAGTTTATTAGAGCTAGCTTTATTCAGCATAGTAGTAATTGGGGAGTAAATTAAGAAATGATTATTGGGACTGCATGGCAGCTGAAATTTGGTTTAACTCGAATAATCTTCCCCACAGAGCTACGAACTCGGATGTTAACCGCTCATTCTCTCTCAATACTACGTGACTCTTGTTCAAAACCCAGCTTAATCGGTTCTTCAGCTCTTGGTTCTCTACTTTCAACTGGTTCAACTCCTCCGTCAGGTTCTCTAAATGTCTTTTCTTTCGCCAGCGTGACCGCCTGGCTGACTCCCGGTTTGATATCATGCGCCTTTGCTTTTTCTCATCCATTGAGTAAACCGCCCGGTTTGACCCCTCAGAACCGGAGTTTGGGCTAACCGATTCTTCTGATGGTAAGAGAGACAATAGTTCTTCAATCTCATCAGCTGTGAACCCGGCCTCAAGAACCGGTAATTGGAAGGGAACACCTACGTCAGAATGAAACATTGATAAATAACAAAAGAGCTAGCAGCTTAACCAAGAAAAAAAAAAAAAAAAAAAAAGGAAAGAAAGAAGACCGGTTTCTTAAATAATGAACCGGAGAGAGGAAGGGAGGAGAAAAGGGAATGTAGAAGTGTAAGGGATGAGCATTTATAGGAGAAAAAAGGGGTGCAATGGGTCCCTCATTGCAAAAGATTTTGGAAAAGTAAGGGCAAAATGGTCAATAAAAAAGTAAATAAATTTAAGGGTAAATAAAGTTGTTCTTTATAAGAATTTAATTATCTTTTTTTATGTTGTGAGTAAGATGGTGGAGTGTTTTTCTGGATCTGCTTTATAATCAGGTGGGGGCCTGCAATGGAGGAAAGTTTAGCTTAGCTTAGCTTAATGACGAAGAATCAAACAAAAAACACATAAAAGCAGAACTGATTGTAATGTTTATCACAAAGTCGTATGAGGTACGCAGGTGATAATTAAAGTTAGTGTAATTATATTTAAAATAAATAAATAAATAAATAATTCTGAGAGTGCAAATAAACTTAGTTTACGTGTACTTTGTCGGTGAACGGTTGACTCCAAAGAAAAAGACAGATGATTTGAATATAGAATGTGTTATTCCTTTCCCTTCCTAAATTAACACTTGAAAAGTAAATAATTAAGGCCAAAGGGTAAGTAATTATCTATAATCTATTGCATAGCTGTCCAACAGCATAATTAATCACTTACCCTCAAATCAATCTTATAAAATTTCATGAATGAAAGATTCTGTAGCAGTTTTTTGGGGCATGATTTGTTGTTAGTAAGTTATTGTTTATGAAGGAGTTGGTCGTTTTCTTAGTTGGAAGTTAGTTTTGGTTAAGGCATGTTAGGTGTCTAAAAACCTTAATTATAAAGGTATACATATATAGTGGAGGATAACATGCACACGTTCTACAGTTGATTCACGACAAAAACTAAAGTGAATCTCCTCCCCTAATTGCCTGCTTTCTATGTGTTTTCAACCCCAAGTTGGATTCATGTGCAACCCACTAAACTCAGACCAATTCAGGTAGCTAGATGCCTGCCTTTTGTATTTATATCAGCTAATGTTTCCTTATATACCTTAAGCAACTACTGAGTTTCTTTTGTTTTGCTTTTCCTCTGGCCAACCATTAATAAAGACATACCAATTACAAGGTATAACATTTCAACAAATTATTATTATTATGCTTTTCATTTTTCATATAATAACTTGATGGTGCAATTTTTTTGTTATGAGATGATAGTTTTGTCCGCGTGTCAGCTAGGGTTATTATTAGTCCAAAAGTCTTTACTGTTTCGTGATCGGATTGTAGTCGTAGTTATCCTGAAATTGTTCCAAAAGTAGCGAGTCCCACACAGCGCAGTAAATTTAGAAAGATCTGGAATCACGTACGTTGCAGTTTGCATTGTATCACGTGGTTTGGCTTTGTTACTTTGTGAATGCATCTTTTTCCAGAAGAAAACTTTTTGGTAAATTGGAGACATTTACCTTTTTCTATTTAAGGGTACAAGTACTGCCTAACCCCCAATAATGTTACACACGGAATTCCATCCAAAAGCCCTCACTCCCCAGAAACCTTTACTGGTAAGTTACCACTCCCTTTATTCAGATTTCAGATGACATGGGGAGAAAGTTTTCATGAATAATTTATTAAGACATTATTATAGTTTATCATTAGCAGATATATTATAGTAGGCTCATGGAAAGGTTTGATTTCTCCCCCACCAGCTCTTGCTTTTCCCTCACTTTGTTTATACGTCAGCCAACGAATGACATATATGTCATCACAAACATTGCATCGGCACCCAAAGAAACGATTAAACAAAGAATTTCTTGCAGCCAAATTGAACAAAGTTTCCAAAAATTGGGTAAACGATGGATTACTTTACTTTTAATCAGTCAAATTAATTAAATATTTCAAGGGAAATATATTATGAAAAGCTACAAATGCAGAGCCGAACTTTCATGCAAGAGGATATGTTAACTCATACCCGCACTGTAACAAATTGTAACTAATGCCAAGTGTTAATGAGAATCGACAACAGTTGGCACTACTACATCAGTTATTTACTCAAATTCATTAAACGTAATATACAACATAAATACCCAACAACAGCCCAAAGACATGCTTGACCAAACACCAAAACTAAGAGTGAATTTCCATATACAACTTAGGTTAAAAACTAATAAGCGGTAACTTTTAGTTTCTTTTCTTATAGAAGCATCTTCCAGGCTTTCCCTTGCTGGAGGAGAGTCCACCATTTTATGATTTCCAGTGATGGCTATTTACGACGATTACAACATCACAGGAGGATTTCCCTGAATTTGGTAATCAAGGTAAAGAAAGATTATTACTCTATTGGGCATGAATGAAATGTTAAAAGCAATTTCAAAAACGAAAAAGCAAGACTGGCTGCAAAAGCCACATGATTAGATGTTCGGTGTAGCAATTTTTGTGAATTAATAGGACCTTAAAATTAACACTACAAAACACCAAATCGAAACAGTTAACAATACATTAACTTGTAATTGTGAAAAGATGATCTTACCTTAAACAGAAGGTCATAAGCAATGTTTTCCCAGGGCAACGATATAGACATTAAGCAACATTTGAGGGGTATCATCTCATCATCTGAAGAAGTTGCAGAGGCAGCTGCAAAGGCATGCTTTGCTGCCACAGATGCAACAGATGCTGCTTTACGAACAATCGAGCCAATCCCAAATCCTCTCTTTGATACAACTGGTGAAAAGGGGCCTGAATCCTGCTGGCTTTGATCTGATGTAGTAGTATCTATAGTTAGCCTTTACCACAAGCTTTACATATACCATTCATCCATAACCAGCCAATGTCACATTTATTTTGCATAACAAATTCCTGAATCCTGGGCCTGTAACCAGGAGTCCAGTACCAACAAAATGGGAAAAAGGATGAAAGTTGGGTGGGTTGGGGGTTCAAGTAAAAGTTCTAAGAGAAGAAAAAAAATTCAGCAAATAATTCAACAAATAGAGTTTGTTTGTTCAGGCACTTGTACAAAATAGTTTGTTAATATTGTTGTTTAGACAGTCCACTTATATCATCACTTAAAAAAAAAGTTTGGTTGAATACCAATAAATTTAGAGGTAATGAATTGTTTCAGTTACCTGCTACACCAGAAACAGCAACTTCAACTTCCCCACGTCCTCCAGGGCCTTTCATGTACAGTCTGTCTGTTTTGCCTGGGGATTGACCAAGTGAAAGAAGGCTCCCAAATCGAGATTTTCCAGCTATGATAACACACAGTGAGAGAGAGGAGATGACAACTAATAAGGAAGTTACATTTACAAAATTCATTTGGCAAATGCGAACTCCCTAAATCTAAAAGCATAATTACTTGGATTTTCAGTTTGCTGCTTGTAAAATGGGCTACCAAATTTTAATTATAAAGCCAATTGAATTTATGAGAATATAAGGATTATCAATGTAGACTATATTTATAACCATATATTTGCTGCTCTTAGAACCAACAGATAGCATAGTTCAACATATGAGAAGAGCAAAAAGAAAATCAAATAAGCCAAGCAAAATATAGGGGTTACAAAGAAACTATTCTACACATCTTAAACCAGAGAGGAAAAAAATCCATTATGCTTGAAAAACTAACCATTAATATAGTTTCAACTCATAAAAACAACTGATAATAAGTCATTTTGAGTGAATTGTAGGAACAAGTACCATCATATGCATCTCGAACCATCTGATAGCTGACAAATCCTGAGAAAAGAGTAAGCTGCAATCACAACTACAGGCAAGTCAATTTGAATGTGTCGGGAGTATCCAAGTACCATTATACAAAATCTACAACTAAAAAACCTTGACACACCTTAGTATTCCCCATCTTTCCAGAGTTAGTATCAATTCTCAGAGGCGCATTATTACTGAAACTGCTATCAGGTGACTCTTTTTCAGTAGGAAATGCTGCTCCATCATGTGCATTCAGAAGCACACAGTAACAGTGGTCCGTATCTGACAAGACCTGCATAGATTAGCGGGGAAATTATTTCAGAAAAAGGACACAACAATCACGTTAACAATGCTATTTTACATTCGACTCTGTTAATTAATCTTACCAAAAGCATACAACAATGATAAAAAGAGAAAGTCAAGTACTTTAAAATATGGAAACAACTTCGAAACTGAATGGATTCAAGTCAAAAAGCATGTTTTCTATGTTGTAAGACCGGAAGTAATACAAATTTATATCTTGTTTTGTTTATCTATATCTTATATATAGCATCTCGGTTATATGCACATTGACAACTAGGTAGTGTAGTTTTTAGATTGACTATAGTTTTTTTCATTCTATTGCTCAACATAGCAGAAAGTAGCCTAGAACACATCTTACTACAAAATCTAGACCTTTTGGGCCAATATAATCAGAAAAACAAAAGCATACATTGAATTTAATTATTAGGTAGATATGAAATTTTTATAACTGAAACAACTTAAAGAATCAATTAATATGAAAACCATATGTAGAATAGCTTCAATAAAACAGGCACACCATATCCAACAACCTCTCCAGGAACCTGCTTACCACAGCATCGAAAGTGGAGTCAAAGTCATCTACTGCAAAACAGATATCTGGATACGCAGGTGTAGTCTCTACTTCCTGCATACATGTCAGATACAGTGTCAGAAATTCAAGATAAAGTTTAAAAGATCACATTTTAAAGAAAATAATGAAACTTGCCTTCTTTGAGTCCAAATGAAAATATACACGGCTTGGAGATGCATAAACAGTTTTTACAACCTGCAGATGGCACAGGCCATAACAGAAAATTAAGCTACAGGGCACAAAACATGGAAGCTTGCAAGAGAGAAGTTAGGCTAGCATGATCACTTTTTACACAAAATTTATATAGTATCGAATTTTCACCCTTCATACGTTTCAACATTTAATCAGTAGATAAGCACATCATACAAACTTTTAAGAGGATTATAAAATTCATGTCATGTGAGCCAACCCATCTCCAACCTCTTCAAGACCTTGTTCTGCCAGGAAGAGATCATTGGAAGGATCATGCACACAGAAATAAATGCCAGTAATGCTACTCTTCTTCCAGCAGAAACTGAATTGGCCCAGCTTAACATACTAGAGACAAAATACATGAGATTTTAAATTGAAAAACTATTTTTCAATCATTTCAAGTAATAACAGAAATAATGGTTGATAAAGATACATCTTCCACACAAACCAGTTCATCTTGGGGGTTAATGAGTATAAATTCCCCATTTCAAAACATTGATGAACAAGAAACGTAATGAATGAGTGAAGAAAATATATCCTCCATATTCTTTTACACATTATTTGTGCTAAATAGGCACCTTGTATATGGGAGACAGCGGTGCATTTTGCCCAGATTGATAGTTTTGAAGGACCCTATGACTGAAAGGGGAAAAAAAAAAAAAAAAAAAAAAAAAAGAACAAGAAATAATTCAAATTTTCTCAGATAATCATGATGAAGAAGAATAGCAAGTAAGAATCCTAAATCATAAGTTGTACAAACATGACTAGAAAACATTCTCTCTTCTTGGAGGAAAGAATTAAACAATAGCAGTTAATCAAATACTTATTAAACCTACATAACAAAAAATACACAGAAGGTTTTTAATAAACAGTAACACTAACTCATCAAAATTGGAAAGAAACTTGCAGATTGCAACACATTAAGAGCATGCCATGAACAAATTGCAACTTTAACAATTGGCAGTATCAATTGTCATTCATGGGCAATAGCATGAAAGTGATATTTAGTACAAGTTTCAAAGAACCAAAGATTGATCTCTTCCCAGGCCAAATGATTTGGAACCGAGATAAAATCAAAGCAACCAAAGTCATGACAACTAGACATCCCACAGAAGGCATAAAAGGGTCAACTAAATAAGATAATAATACAGTGGATCCCCAAAAAATATTCTCTCCTACTCTTTAATCACATTTATAACCAAATTAACACTTAGATGACAATCAGACATTTTGCAAACTTGAAACCTAATTCTCAAGATTAAATGCTGACAATTGATATACAACTGGACTGCTTACCAAAGAATTAAGGTGCAAACTGCAGAGACAAACGGATGTTAGAAGCAATAGATTGTTGATGAAACTTACAGGATGAAGACAGGATGCAACCAAAAAAGCAGAAAAGAAGTTACCTGCAAATTGCCACTGTTACTGAGAATGAAGTATGGGCAATCATGTTCAAATAAAATGAGCGCCTCCAATCAACCTCTATCGAGTTCTTGCCAAGCAAGTTATCCAGCTGTTTAAAAAATTAATAAATAACATTATTTATGTAAGGCCGTTGAATAATCAATATCGATGATAAGCAGAAGACACATGGTCTGAAAAGAAACTCATGGAGTCAAGTCTAAACTATAAGTATTGACTAATAAAACAAGAACACAAACCATGACCCATCACCATAGAGACAATTAAATACACGTAAATAAAAGTTATCTTGGTTTTTGAGCTTCTTATACCTTGGATGCCCACCTGCGTACAAAGTATGGAGGGACCTCTTCAGCATTATCGTTGAAACCATATCCATCCAAACTCTTTATCAGCATAATTTAACAAATATTAGTGATACGGTGTAAAAGCCACCACATGAGTTCATACAAATCAATGGCATACCCTTTTCCGGACGAAAAATAAGAGATCGTCATCCTGTCGTCCTCTCGATTCCTTACTACGAATAAAGTACAAATCAAAAACATCATGCCAAAATCCAGAATCCATTTCAAGGTCAGCGGAATCTTGCTCATCTACTATGGTTTTGCCGATGAAATTCGAATGCTTCTTCACCATACTCAATAATTCTTCCCTATCAATACAAAAATTAAACATTGCAATTCGTAAAAGAACCATTTCTTAACAACCAATACCAAAACAAAATTTCCACAAAATTTAAACATCAAGTAAACTTCACTAGCAATGATAATACAGTGAGTAGTTAGGTCGACTAAACTCAAGACCGAAACTAACAAGTTGTACCGAATGCAACATTGAATTAAATTTTGACGACACTAATAGAAAAAAGAATTACTTCTGAAATTGAAATAAATAAACCCTAATTAATGTGGGAGTGAAAATTTTCATACCTGGAAGGAGTTTCTTCTTGATCAGCAAGCATGTTTTGTTGACAGTTGATTTGATTCTTTGCGTGATTTAATGATAAACGTAGACTAGGGTTTTAGTTGTAAAACATTTTCCTCCGATGTTAAAAAACTGGCGCGAGAGTTGTGTGATCTGGTGCAGGGTAGCAGTAACTTCTCCTTTTTAATTGTCAACGCGTCTCAATTTAAAGAGACGTTCGTTTTGACTTTCTTGAAAATTGAAAATTATCGCCTGTGTCTTGGAGCATAAGGATGTAAAAAGCCTTAGCTTCTGATTGAGGACAGGTATCGACTTAAAGGAATTTATATGATTAGAGACGCACAAAAACATTTCTCCACCGTGGATGTGGGTCCATTTTGGTCGTGCGGTGGCAAACTGCCAGCTCAAGGGTCAGTGAAGTGACAACTGACAACTATTTTGTCGGTCACATCAGTTTGCCTTGCAATCGTTCGGCCCAATATTATAATAAAAGCCCAATAGATTTTGAGGACAGTCCCATGGGCAATTGGTCATAGACTCATAGAAACTGGGTAAAACTACAGGATAATTTGGTGTAGTTTCTCAAGACAGAAGTAGGATTCCCTGAAGCAAATATTCATGTAGTGAACGGCACTATGATTTGTTGAAATATAAAAACGCAATTGAAATAGTTCTTGTTTCTATAATAAAATAAGTTGATTTAGTTTTGCATGGCTGAAATTAGCTAGTTAGTATTTTCAATCAATAACCAGACAAATCAAAATATCAGTGTCACATTTATGATTTTTTTTTTCCACAGTAGAAATAAATATTGTTTATGGCCCAATATATTTTGAGGACAATCAATCATAACACAATAACACATCACATTTATATATAGGTCACTTCACAGAAACCGGGGAACTATCATCAATTACGAGGCAGAACATAAAGGTATGCTTTGCAGAAGTATACAAAACGATTGACCCTTGTATTGAATTATTTAATGCTAACTGGGTGCATATATTTACTGGTATGCCTAAAAAAATCAGTTTATTTCAGCTAACGTCGTTCAGAGTTCAGAAAGGTTTTGTATCGTCCAAGAGTTAGGCATGATAATAGGGCAGGGCAGAGACCTTATTTACCATACCCATCCCCATCCTCAAAATCATTCCCCATCCCACCCCATCCCCGTTACAAGGATGACAGGAATTCCCTTTTCCCGCCCCAAAGGGGAATGTTGGAGACCCATCCCCGCCCCGTTAATTTTATATAAACATAAATTAATTTGAGCATTACCAAACACAATAGTTAATTCTGGTCCACATAACAAACACTTAAATTAATCGTTTAAACATAATTAATTATACATAAATATGGGTCAGGGTTTATTCTTGTTCAATTATTTAGGGTGAGAGAAATTAGGAAAATATGGATTTATATAGGTAAGATAATTGTGTAATTAGGTAAAATATAGGGATGTTAGTGAAAAGTAAATATATATATATATAATTTTATATATTATATACGGGGCGGGTCGGGGGAAAGGCATCACCCACCCTCGCCCCATCCCCAAGGACGGGGATTAAAACAACCCCCACCCCCTCTATCCCCAAAAAAAACCGGGGCTTCCCCGCCCCAGGACGAGTCCCCGAAATCCCGGGGAACATTGCCATGCCTACCAGGAGTTGTCACATCATCAAAAGATAGAAAGAGTATAGTTATCATCAACTTGGAAGACGCAGGCTTTATCTGGGAGTGGATGAGAGTCACTCACCTGTTCGAGCCCTACGCGATTTGAGGATATCTCCTGTATAATCAGCTAATGGGAAGCGTGATAGGAATTGTACTACACCTGCCCACTTGCAGACTTGTAATCATTACTCTGAAACCTTCTACTATAAATAGAGGGCTCTCCCTCTCATTTTCGGGATTCTGATAAGAAACCCGTGTTCTGATTGTAACCTTTTATTCTCAGAACACAGATAACCGGCGAGAAAGAGACTGACTTAATATTCTCTCTGAATAATCAGTCACTTGTACCTCCGCTCGCTATTCGCTATACGCGACCTCCTAGAACCTCATATATATAAAAGAACAATGGATGTATGATTCGCTTTAAGTATCTGAACCACTTTAAAAATCATCTTCCATTTACTTCATTGCATTTTTCATTCACATGTAATTTCTAAATCAGCTTAGCACTTTACACGTGCGAATCGTTGATGTCAAAATCAAGCATCAATAGTTTGATACTAGAAGGAGGCCGTGATTTAGTATCCGCTCTTCATCAAGAATCTATGATCAATCAGCTCTACTTGCTAACAAATGGCTTGTGGTTTTAAAACCGAGCGAACTAGCCCCAACCTCGAGGAGATCCCTCGGTTGCAGGATGATACTTCTTCTGAAGTACCTCTTATTCCACAAAATATAGTGGCAGATTTTCTCTCGAGCTCACAACTCGATCCAATTGTGAGGAGTTACTTGGAGAGGTTCAACAATACTCTAGAAATGGTTAGCCAAAGGCTAAACCGTTTGGATCAGGTCATATTGGCCGATTCCGATAAGGCAATGTCGTCGCCAAAGACGTTTGTAGGTCGCACTAAAGCATGGAAACGGGCAAAAGCCTATGCCACGTGCACTACAACGCGTAAAAACAAGAGAAAACAGGTGGCAAATAATGGGCCAAAGGGCTCCAAGGGACCAGCGAATGCCGGTTGTGAAGCAGGAAGAATACCTGTGGCTTTACGACTTGGCAATATGTCGCATTATGAGCCATCCCACGCCACATCGTATGGGCACCACCATAAGAGTGCAAGACAGGGATATTCCTTTCATCGTTGGTGTGATGGTCCTGATCATCACCGCAAGGGAAATGCTGACCATACACGGGTTAGTTCTGACCACCGTGGAGGTCGGGATAGCTCCTCTGGCCATTAAATGCCTACACATGGCTCCAGCTAACCTGTGTCGAGGCATGCCGAAGGCTTTGGCCGAGTTGAGGAAAAGTCTGACCTGGTGTATTTCCTCAACCGCAATAGTGAGGGTTTAACCCACGTTGAGGAAAACAATCCCCAAATAGCTCTACTTCCTCAGATTGAGGAGTTACAACGAGATTTGGATCAGCTTAAAGCTTAGTAGAATGAGCGTGAGCGAGCCACTGAAGCGTCTCCCTTTTCTCCAGCAGTGTTAGCTGCTCCTCTCCTGTCAAGGTTTAGAATGCCCAATATGTGAGCATTCGATGAGAATTCTAATCTGCAAGATTACCTCTATGAGTTTAACGACCTCATAGAGCTTCATCAAGTTTCTAGCTTGGCCAAATGTCGCTGTTTGGCAGTGACTTTGACTACCTATGCCAAACGCTAGTTTAGATCGCTCCCGCCAGGATCCATCAACTTGTGGCAGCAGATGAGTTCGTTATTCTTGAGACACTTCCAGGCTAATAGGAAATTCTCAATGTCGTTGAGCTATCTAAGCAACATACGACATGAGAGAAATGAGTCCCTCCAGTCCTATATTGATAGGTTCTACAAGGAGCTACACAAGGTGGCTAATACACTCGAGGAGTCAGTTCAAACTCTGAATATTGCAAGGGTTCGTCTGCAAACCGACCTGTGGAAAAAACTGCAATCTGAGGACGACATTTCCCTCACCTGCTTCAACGATCTTACTGAGAAGTATCTCTGAATCGAGAATTCCATGGCTGCTCTAAATCGCCACTACTCTGGTCCTTCGATCAGTGCTCCTAGCCAGGGGGAAGAACCCCCGGAGAGGGGGGGGGGGGGGGGGGGGGGGGGGGGGGGGGGGGGGGGAAGAATAGTAGGAGAGTTGATTGCAGATGGGCCAATGACGATTAGCGAAAAGGAAAAAAGTAGCAGTTTAAGCCTAAGAAATCTTATGCCCAGGTTCCCCGTTGCGATCGCGACAAGAATCAGTATACTCCATTGAATGCATCGGTATCAGCTATTCTAGACAAGTCAGAAGCTAGTCTGCTCGGAGAGCCAGAATCCATGAATAATCCCCCTGCGGCAAGAAACAACAAGAAATATTGTCACTATCATTGGGATAACGGGCACCATATTGACGAGTGCTGGGCTCTTAAGCAGACAATTGAAGACCTCATTAAAAAATGACACTTCAAGGAGTATGTTGATGGCCCAACTCCCGTTCGGGAGAAGGATCAAGGAGACGAGGGAAAGAAGTGTCGTGGTCGCAAAGGTCTCCATCTTGTTGGAATCATATTTGGAGGACCACACCTCACGGGGAATTCTCGAGGTGTTCAAGAAAGGTATGCTCGGAAAGCTCATCATGACCCTGTGAGTGTGATGAGCACGACGCCGCAACCATGAGGATGCACTCGTTATCGTGCCTGAAATAAGTCGGTGCGAAGTCTACAAGATGTTGGTAGACAATGGCAGCATTGTGAATATCTTATTTTAGCAAGCTTTTGAGGAAATACAACTGGACGAGGCAGATCTAAAGTCTGCCTCTATCCCTCTCTATGCTTTTAGTAAGGACCATCTGATTCCCAAGGGAACGATTGCACTTCTTGTCACTCTGGGTAATACCCACAAGGTGACTAAAATGACGGAGTTTTGGTAATAGACTGTTCGTCTGCTTTCAATGGCATTTTGGGACAACCTCTACTACGGAACTTCAAAGCCGTCACCTCTATCTATCATCTGAAGATGAAGTTTCTTACTCCGACAGGGTGTGGAGAAGTCAAAGGATCCCATAGTGAATCCCGTGACTGCTATGTAAGGGTAGTACATATGGCATACAAAGGGAAATGGAGGCCAGTAGACATTCCCGAGCAGGCTATGACGATCACCAAGATGAACCACAATCGGGTCTAGTAGAAGACAATATAGATCCTCGTGTTCAAGAGTAGTATTCCTACAGTGGACATATTGAGACTCTATCTGAGGTATTGGTTGACCAAAATGAACCAACTCGGCTATTGAGGATCGAAAGCAATCTCAGCCCCTAACTCGCTGCCAACCTAACGAGCTTCTTCAGACAAAATATTGATGTTTTTGCATGGACTCATGCTGACATGGTTGGGATTAGCCCGGATGTAATGTGTCATGCACTGAACATCGACAGCGTGATCAAGCCGATTCGCCAGAAGAGAAGAGCCATGGACCTAGAGTGTTGCTCTGAAAGTTGAGGTGGACAAGCTCCTCTCAAATGAGTTCATTCGAGAGGCTCATTACCCGAGTTGGGTTACCAATTCTGTTTTGGTAAAGAAACCCAACAGCAAGTGGTGAACTTGCATCGATTTCTTTGATCTCAACAAAGCCTGTCCGAAGGACAATTTTCATCTGCCCAAAATCGATCAGCTCGTCGATGCCATCTTTGGGCATGAGCTATTAAGCTTCACGGATGCTTATTCGAGGTATAATCAGATCCTGATGTACACGCTTGACGAAGACAATACCTCGTTCATTACAAATTGAGGACTGTACCGTTATAAGGTCATGCCCTTTGGTTTGAAAAATGTTGGGGCAACCTACTAGCGTCTAGTTAACCGCATGTTTTCTGAGTAGATCGGGAAAACAATGGAAGTCTATGTTGATGACATGCTTGTCAAGTCGCGTGTCTCTTCAGATCATGTAGCCAATCTCGCAGTATGTTGATGTTCAACATACTTCGAAGATATAGAATGAAGCTTAATCCTCTTAAATGTTCATTTGGAGTATCCACGAGAAAATTCTTGGGGTATATGGTTAACCACCGGGGAATTGAAATTAACCCCAAAAAGATCTAAGCTCTCTTATATATGAAAAGTCCTGCCAATCGAAAGCAAGTTCAGAGCTTGAAAGGGAGAATAGTGGCTCTCAGTCGCTTCATATCAAGAGCAACGGATCGTTACTTGCCATTCTTCGATATACTTAAGGCTAACAAGAAGTTTGAATGGACTTTGGAATGTAAGCAAGCCTTCCAGAGTATAAAATAGCATCTTGGAAAGCCACATCTTCTGTCAAATCCTCTTCCCAAGGAAATCTTATTTCTTTACCTATCAATCTCTTAGTATGCGATTAGTACAGCTCTCGTTCGAGAAGAGGGTAAAGTTTAATGGACAGTGTATTATACAAGCAAGCGACTACCGGATGTCAAAATATGGTATCGAGAGATGAAACGATTGGCCTATGCCTTACTGATCGTTTCCAAGAAGCTGCAACCTTATTTTCATGAGTACACCGTCTATGTTTTGACAAACTATCCACTCAGACAAGTTCTTCAGAAGCCGAAGGCTTCGGGTAAGTTACTCAAGTGGGCTATGGAACTAAATCAATTTGATCTGTATTACAGACTGAAGACAACAATTAAAGGGCAGACTATTGCTAATTTTATTTTGGAGTTCTCTTATCAGGCAGATCGGGAACTTGAACAGCCAACCAACAGGGTTGTCCAAGAAACTGTTCAGAACTTATCAACCTGGAGCCTCTATGTTGATGGGTCTTCGAATAGAAGAAGAGTCGGAGCTAGTCTTCTACTCCTCAGTCCTGAAGGGACTCGCATCTTTAGGTTTGGGTTCAGAGCTATGAATAATGAGGCTGAATATGAAGCGCTGCTTGCTGGTTTGCGACTAGTAAGAGAAATGGGGTCGGATGCAATCGACATCAATAGCGACTCTCAACTGGTTGTCAATCAGATTTTGGGAGAATATCAAGCTAAAGAAGAAAACATGATCAGCTATCTGAAGAAAGCCAAGGTTATACTCGAGCCTTTCAAGCATTATACGATCAAGCAAATCACAAGAGACAGTAACTCTGTTGCTGGATTTTGATGCTCTGGACAGTATTCCAGTTCGTTACATTGAGGTTCCCAACATCAACACACCTGAGCAGACTGTAGCTACAATCGAATCTACTTCTTGGATGACCCTGATCATTTAGTATCTCCGAGATGGGACTTTGCCTAACAGTAAAACTAAGGTGAGACTCTCGCGAACTAGAGCTACTCGTTACACACTTATCGGGGATCAGTTGTATAAGCGAGGGTTTAGCATTCCCCTCCTCCAATGTGTAACCGATGATGAAGCAAACTACATCATGAGAGAGGTACATGAAGGGATATGAGGAAATTACACTGCTGCACGATCACTCGCCAATAAAATTGTCCGTTAGGGATATTATTGGCCCCTATTTCATTGGGATACTTTCAACTTCGTGAAGAATTGTGATAAGTGCTAGAGGTTTGCGAATATCCCGCGAGCCCCTTCCCACTAGCTAACGACAATGACCAGTCCTTGGCCATTCTCTATGTGGGGAATTGATCTTATCGGGCCCATGTCAACTAGTAAATGGGGCATCAAGTACGTAGTGGTCACAGTGCATTATTTCACTAAGTGGGTCGAAGTAGAGCATTTGGCCACGATCATTACAAAAAAGCTCAAAAACTTTGTCTTCAAGAATATAGTGTGCCGCTATGGGATTTTTCATACACTCATCTCTGATAATGAGAAACAGTTCGACAACGAGGAATTCAAGCAGTTTTTTCGACGAGCTGGGGATTCATAAGAAATTCGTCTCAGTAGCAAGACCGCAAGCCAATGGTCAGGTTGAAGCTGTCAACAAAACTATTAAGCACACATTGAAGGCCAAGCTTGGTGCAACTAAGGGCAATTGGGCTGATGATCTCCCAGAAGTTCTATGGGCATATAGAACAACTCCGAGAACCTCTGCTTCAGAAACACCCTTCTCGCTTGCATATGGCTGCGAGACAATGATTCCAGTGGAAGTAGGAATTGGTTCACTCCTGATGGATTTTTTCAATGAAACAGACAACAAGACACTCTTACGTGCAAGTCTGGACTTGGTTCAAGAACACTATGACAAGGCTTGGTTAAGGATAGATTTCTACCAGCAGTAAGCAAAAAGATTTTCTGACTCTAAAGTCAAGAGAAGAGATTTTTGCGTTGGCGACCTGGTTTTGAAAGACGTCTTTCTCGGCACAAGGGAACCAAGTGTGGGGGTATTGGGACCAAATTCGGAAGGTCCATATCGCATCACTAAGATAATACGATTTAGGGCGTATCACCTCAAAAGGCTTAATGGTTCTGAACTGCTGCGAGCTTAGAATGTTGAACATCTTCACCATTATTATCAGTGATTCCGAACTCGCTTATATTTTTGATCATTTTTACTTGTAAAGTTCTCGCTGTTGTAAATTTCATGAATAAGATTGTTCCAGTTCTCTTCAAAGAAACACTTGTGTCATAATCTTAAGTCTTTAATAATCTTGTTATTCGTCATTTTCTATGAGTTCGATGATCAGATATATTATATTTGTTTTGTGAAGTGCTTAAGTGTAAAAGTACTATCACAAGTAGTCAAAAAGTTCATTTATATATGTTCGATGAATATGTACAAAGGAGCAACCGAGAATTACAAAAAAAAAAAAAAAAAAAAAAAAAGGCCGTTCCCGGGACCCCTGGCTGCGACCCAAAATATTAAAATTCTCAATGCTTTATACCTATTTTTCAAACGCAAGTTATAATGGATAAAAACCAAATCATTCAACCGTTGATGCTCCAATCTATTCCTTCTTTTTGTATGGATACGTTCGAAAACACTCCAATTTCGCTCACATCCCAAAGAGGTTGAAGTTTGGCTCAGAATCTTAATTGCAAACTCTTGTAACTGTGGAGTACTATACCCATATGTCCTCCACCATTCATCTAATTAAAAGTTAAGAGTGTTCAGTGTTAACCATATGAAATAATCAAATAAACAAATTCATAACTTAGAAATTGGACTTAAAATTGAGAAATTTAATAAGTATCACATACCAGGTCGTGTGGTTCTGCAAGTTTGAAGGGCAAGCTCACGAGAAAAGCTTTTCTCGCGATCTCGATATATTTTACTTTCGTCCACTACCCTTGTGTTGTTCAACTTGAATGCATTTGCTTTATTGTCAACAACATCAAGGAAACCACGCATAACCTCTGGTTTCCTGCAGAAAGTTGCACGGTCATACTAAAAAGCCGGATTCAAATAATAAGCAACAGCATGAATATCGCGGCTCAAAAGCATATCCCACCGCTGCTTAATAATTTTGGTATAAGGCTTGTACAATGTCTTTCTCTTTCTAAAGAACTTCTTGATCACTTTTTTGGCTCTGTACATGCCATCATACACGTATCCTATTGCAGGTCTCTCATCTGAGTCTATAATTCGCAACAAACACATCAAAGGAGCCACAATTTTGGAAACGTAACCCATGTTAGCCCAAAATTCATTATCTAGAAAAACCTATCAGTCACCATAGCTTGCAAGTCATGTTTGTGCTCATGTAGACTTCTTAATGCAATGAAAGTAGTAGCAAATCGAGTTGCACCTGGTCGTATGATTTCTCTCCAACCCTGTTCAAGTGATACATACAATACATAATAGATGTTAGTAAATTATTACAAAATGTTTATTATGTAATAAATTGACAAAAACATGAGTTAAAGGTTTATAAGCTCTCTTTTCCTCAACCAAGCTATCAAAATTGTGTGACTATACACAAACTTTGTTACTTCAGAAGCACGTTTTGTAAGATGCACTATGTGGTCCAACTCAGATATATCTTTCAAAATTAAATTTAAGCAATGGGCTGCATAGGGTGACCAAGTAATATTCTCATACTTCTCAGACAACATTCTTCCAGCAACTTTATAATTTGCTCCATTATCTGTGACAACATGGATAATATTGTTTGGTCCAACCCATAAAGCCATTTCCTCAAACAACTTGAATAATGTAAAGGCATCCTTTACAACATCTGAAGCATCCACTGATTTTATAAAGCAAACACCTTTAGGACAGTACACAAGAAAATTAATCAATGATCTATGGCAAGTATCAGTCCAACCATCAGCCATTAATGTACATCCAACCTCTTGCCAAATCCTCTTATAATTGTCAACAATTAATTGGACTTCCTTCTTAGCATCTCTCAACAAATTCACACGCATAGCATCATAAGTAGGTTGTTTATACCCAGGGCCAATTGCAGCTACAACATCCAACATAGGCTGAAAATAAATTGAATTTAAAGCATTCATTGGGATGCAAGTATCATAAAAGAATTGTGCAACAGACATGTCTACTCTCCACTTTGCATCTTTTCCAGCCAAAACACTCCTAATTGAAGGTTGAGACCCAGAAGTAGTTTGTGGAGCAAAATAATTACTAACCCCTGTAGTTTTCTTTCTCTTACTGCTCGTAAATTATTTTTTACTGCCACTACTACCACCTTCATTCATGGTCATTTGTGATGGGAAAACCTCTTCATTTTCTTCATCTAACTAATCACCCTCAAATTCATGTACTGCAGCACCAAAAGGAGTTGCATGCTTCCAAAAATCTTCTTTTTCCTTACTCTTTACTCCTATTTCTTTTAGTGATTCATTCATATTGAATCTAACATCAAATGGAACCTTCGGACACTTTCCAATATCCCCTTTTACTCCTGCTAAGTGTTGCTTCATTATGAAAATATCACCACCTCTAGTAACCTTGCCACAATGAAGACAAGATAATATTTTCTTTCCATCTTTATCAACACTCTCAAGAACATGTCCCCATGCTATATCGATCTTTCCTCGAAAAGATTGCTAGCAAATGGACGTGGCTGATGAGTTATGTGTAGACGAAGATGATGACATTCTCTCCCCTAGCAAGTGGCAACCAACAATCAATTTGTTATAATTTATAAAATATAACTTTAAATCAATTTGTTTTCCAGTGAAGAACATTTCATGCTACTCAATGGAAGAACCAAACAAATTGATAAGTCAAAACCAAAAACCTGTGTTATTATCACAATTCACAACATGAATAAACTCCCCCTTTCAATTACTCTTTACTAGTTTACTGTAATGAACTAATAATAATGCTTCACGGTGCAAGCAAGTAAGCAACTTCCACAGATCACAGTTTCACCATCAATTTCTAATTTCCCAGGAGAAATTAACAGATCCATTGATTCACATTTCACAATTTCACATCACATTACAATAAGTCAATAATACAATATTATGAATCAATTCAAATTTCAAAACCAAAAACAAGGGGCGAATTTACATTTTACACAATCTACAAGTGTAAATTGTAAAACACGTAGGCTGGCCACATGAACAAAAAAAAAAAGAGAATCAACTCTCTAAAAAGTCTAAGGAAAATTACCAGGCACCGACATTATAAAACAAGCAAGCCACCTAGACAGACAACAAGAAATAATAAAATCTAAAGATTCTACACATCATAAATCCAAAAGCCAGCCACTAACATGGTTCATAAATCTGTAAGCCACTAACATGGTTCATAAATCTGTACATAAAGCATAGAAGACAGAGAAAGATAGGAATTTGTAGATTGTTACTTGGTCACGGCAAACGGCAGCTCGTAGATGGCGGCAGACGACAGCAGATGTGAAGGCTGAAATCTAAGTTGAAGTGACTAATCTGGCAGATCAGCAATGGCGATGGTGATGATTGAAGAGTTCACGTTGAAGACTGGAAGTTGAAGAATGAAGAGTTACAGGCAGTAGACCAGCCACGGCAAGGAAGAAGCATTGAAGTAAAGTAGAGCAGACTGAAGACTTGAAGACTAAAGAGTGAAGACGTGAGGTTGAATCGCTGAATCTTAGCGAAAAGCTTGAAGGAGATCTGACTTCTGAGATCGCGAATGGAGGACAGGAAGAGGAGGACTAGACTGGAGAGTGGAGATCGCAAATGGCAGTAGCAAACCAAGATGAAAAAGTGAAAAACTAAAGAAGGGGCAAGACGGCTCAGTAGCTTACAGTCACACTCACAACTCAAAAGCAAATTGAAAATGTGTTAAAAATTTTGAGGGTTTGGTTGTTTGACACTTTGACTTTGTGTGTGCGCGACTGTGGTTTTTAATTTTTTTTAATTTTTTTTTTATTTCATGTGATTAAACCGGATTGGGTGTGGACTGGAAATCTTTTTAATACCGGTTGGACTATCGGTTTGCTACAGTGAGACGGTCCAACCACGATTTGAAACAGTTTGACTGAAAATCTCGATTATTTGCTCTCTTCAAACCGAAAATGTAAGTGAACCCGGTTAGACCGCCCAGTCCAGGCCGGGTTTCAGAACATTGCCCACCATTACCATGAAAAACTGAGTTTTTTAACAGAAATGAAAAAGAGAAAAGGAGAAGAAATTTTCTTTACCTTTGGATTATTGGGAATGGATGTTCTGTCATAACGACGAGTGCACATCAACCGAGAAAAGGATGAACTGATTTCTTGAGTATGAAAAACATTGTTTTTCTCTTTGGAAATGCAAGTTCTGTGAAAAATGTGGAATGAGCTTAGGGTTTTATTAGGAAGAAGGCGACGTTTGGATTCCCTTGCAAGCAACGTTTAGGCGGGATGCATTTCTAGCCATTGGATGCGACCATGTGTCATCAATCCATGTGAAGAGTAATCTTCACACTTCATGGAGATTAATCGACGTTTCCCTCCATTGGAGCCGCTAAACATCAACGTGGTTATCTCCTCTACATTAAATGCGCCCTCATCCACATTTAATGCTTTAAAAGAGAATGTCGTTTTAGCATGACTTGCGTTTAATGTTCATGGCTGACAGTTATTATGCAAAGACACGTCTGTCAGATAAAGCTTATTTTATTGACCAGGACAATTGTTAAGCGCAACGGATAAAATCTGAAGAGATTGTTCGAAAAAACACTTTTCCTTATATATCAAACTTGGAGCGAAGTGATTTCTAGCTTTCGACAGCAAAATACTTTTAAGTACTTTCTGGTCGCGGATGACAAATAGAGTTCGAAACACATCGGTATAGCACTGGGTAAGATCCGACATAGGTTGCTGAACCTTTTGAGACAATCACCTCAGGTCGCCTGTGTAACTATCGAAGATCCATGTTGCAACCTCTATTCTGTTCGTTGGTCGAGTGAAGTCATCGACCTTATTTCATTTAGGCTGTTCTTAACTGATAGTTTGAGCAAGTGCTCTTCAAAACAAGTTAGGTCGCGACATAATCATGAAGTTCTCAAGATTCAATTTTTGAACCTTAAGAACTAGGGAGCTTCTATTATGCCTAAAAAATCAGGGCTGACGTGAGTTTACGTTAGCCAGCGCCAATCAGAGTTCATGAAGGCTTTGTGCCATCTAAGAGTTGCCACGTTGTCAAAAGAATGAAAGAGTATAGCTATCATCAACTTGGCAGACTCAGGCTTTATCTACGAGTGGATAGGAGTCGCCCACTTGTCCGAGCCCTACACGATTTGAGAATATCTCTTATGTAATCAACCAATGGGAAGCGCGGTAGGAATTATACTACACCTGCCCACTTGCAGACTTGTAATCATTACCTTGAAACCTTCTACTATAAATAGAAGGCCTCCTCTCTGATTTTCGAGATTCTGATAAGAAACTCGCATTCTGATTGTAACCTTTTATTCTTAGAACACAGATAACCTGCGAGAAAAAAACTGATTTGATATTCTCTCTGAATAATCAATCACTTGTACCTCCGCTCGCTATTCGCTATACGCGACCTCCTGTAACTTCATATATAAAAAAAAACAGTAGACGTAAGATTCGCTTTAAGCATCCGAACCACTTTAAAAACATCTTCCATTTACTTCATTGCATTTTTCATGCATGTGTAATTTCTAAGTTAGCTTAGCACTTTACACGTGTGAATCATTGGTGTCAAAATCAAGTATTAACATATACTAATTTATTCTTTTTGAACTATATGGTTCTCAAGATAGTGCCAGAATGTCATGCAGATGTGGTGCTACAACTTCTATTTTCCTTTTTATTTTTTCTTTCTTTATCTCTTCAGCTAAATGGCTTATAGCCATGTAGCTTATGCACTATTGATTTGTTTTTAATTTTGCGTTCAGATCTGCTAGTGTGGAAGCAGAAAAACTTATCATACATTGATATAAAGAATGCATTAATGAGTTGAAACACTTCATATAGATTTGCCGAAATAATGCATGCATGTAAAGGTAGCCAAAGTTCAAGTGAACAACAATGTTCCCTCTTTGATTTGTGTTTAAAGCGCCACATTACTTTCCCATAACCACCTACTTAATGCCCATTTTGTCTCGAAGGTAAAGTTTAGTGTTGTTCAATTATATACTGTTATGAAATAAACATAAATCTTTAATTCACACAAACAAAAAGATGCACAAAAGAATCAAGAAGCAAGAAAACAACACGAATTTTACCATGATTCACTTATCCAAGATTTGATACACTACAGTCATGTTGAGCTCCAGAATCAGAGAAGCTCGCTGCACTAATAAATTAAAATAAGAGTTTACAACCACAAATCTAAAGATCTATCACTCAAATACAACCAAATCCTACCCGTAACCCAACCTAGAGACTCTCTCCCTGGAATCCCTAAGATCTTGAGAGAAAAAACCCCTCTCACCGAATGACTAACTCACAAATCACTCAACCTCAACAGGTTACACAGATTCGATTGCAAAAGTAAACCCTAACACTGAATATTGCTTGAAGAACACGAAGAACACTCTACCCCTAATTTGCGATTTTTTGCTTCTTTAAATACGGTTGACCATATGTTGAATCTCAACAGTTGGATCTAAATTGGATCAAAGGTCAGGATTCACTCCTGCAACCCACTAAAATGACATCACACAACTTAAAGGCATAATGACACCGTTTCAAGCCTTCATTTTAACAATCTCCACCTTAAAGACTTGAAACAACCATCATACCAAAACTTAACTAGTGCAGCTCACTCATATCCAATTCCCTCATAGCTCTAATACTCCAGCCTAAGTTACGAACAACAAGTTGCTTGAACTTGGTTGCAGTAACTACCTTAGTACCAATATCCGTTGGGTTGTCTTCTATAACAATTTTCTTCAAGTTAATCACACCAGATGCCACCAGGTCCCTTAAAAAGTGAAACGTACATCCACATGCTTGGTTCTCTCCCGGTAGACTGAGTTTTTACTCAAATGAATTGCACTCTAACTGTTTGAGTAAATTGTCACCTTCCCATCTGTCAGACTTGCCTTTAACAGAATTCCTTTCAATCACAATGCCTCTTTAAACACATCCACAACAGCTATGTACTCAGCTTTAATCGATGAGAGAGCCACAGTAAGTTATAGCTGTGACTTCCAACTTATGCAGTTGCCTCCAAGAGTAAAGTAGTAGTAGGAGGTGGTTGATTTCCTTGTGTCTTTATCACCTGCAAAGTCAGAATTTACAAAACCAAACAGATCAAGTGAAACACTCATTTTACAGTATTCTAATCCAACACAAAGGGTACTGTTAATGTATTTTATCACTTATTTCAAAGCAGACCAATGTTTAAGCCCTGGATTAGACATAAATCTATTTAACATGGATATGACAAAGGATAAATCAGGCCTAATACTTATCATTGCATACATGACAGATCCTATCACATTTGAGTATGATACATACTTCATTTTGATCAAT